TCGCGGCCACCCAGAGGTGGCCGACAGTTGTCATTTCGCGGCCACCCAGAGGTGGCCGACAGTTGTCATTTCGCGGCCACCCAGAGGTGGCCGACAGTTGTCATTTCGCGGCCACCCAGAGGTGGCCGACAGTTGTCATTTCGCGGCCACCCAGAGGTGGCCGACAGTTGTCATTTCGCGGCCACCCAGAGGTGGCCGACAGTTGTCATTTCGCGGCCACCCAGAGGTGGCCGACAGTTGTCATTTCGCGGCCACCCAGAGGTGGCCGACAGTTGTCATTTCGCGGCCACCCAGAGGTGGCCGACAGTTGTCATTTCGCGGCCACCCAGAGGTGGCCGACAGTTGTCATTTCGCGGCCACCCAGAGGTGGCCGACAGTTGTCATTTCGCGGCCACCCAGAGGTGGCCGACAGTTGTCATTTCGCGGCCACCCAGAGGTGGCCGACAGTTGTCATTTCGCGGCCACCCAGAGGTGGCCGACAGTTGTCATTTCGCGGCCACCCAGAGGTGGCCGACAGTTGTCATTTCGCGGCCACCCAGAGGTGGCCGACAGTTGTCATTTCGCGGCCACCCAGAGGTGGCCGACAGTTGTCATTTCGCGGCCACCCAGAGGTGGCCGACAGTTGTCATTTCGCGGCCACCCAGAGGTGGCCGACAGTTGTCATTTCGCGGCCACCCAGAGGTGGCCGACAGTTGTCATTTCGCGGCCACCCAGAGGTGGCCGACAGTTGTCATTTCGCGGCCACCCAGAGGTGGCCGACAGTTGTCATTTCGCGGCCACCCAGAGGTGGCCGACAGTTGTCATTTCGCGGCCACCCAGAGGTGGCCGACAGTTGTCATTTCGCGGCCACCCAGAGGTGGCCGACAGTTGTCATTTCGCGGCCACCCAGAGGTGGCCGACAGTTGTCATTTCGCGGCCACCCAGAGGTGGCCGACAGTTGTCATTTCGCGGCCACCCAGAGGTGGCCGACAGTTGTCATTTCGCGGCCACCCAGAGGTGGCCGACAGTTGTCATTTCGCGGCCACCCAGAGGTGGCCGACAGTTGTCATTTCGCGGCCACCCAGAGGTGGCCGACAGTTGTCATTTCGCGGCCACCCAGAGGTGGCCGACAGTTGTCATTTCGCGGCCACCCAGAGGTGGCCGACAGTTGTCATTTCGCGGCCACCCAGAGGTGGCCGACAGTTGTCATTTCGCGGCCACCCAGAGGTGGCCGACAGTTGTCATTTCGCGGCCACCCAGAGGTGGCCGACAGTTGTCATTTCGCGGCCACCCAGAGGTGGCCGACAGTTGTCATTTCGCGGCCACCCAGAGGTGGCCGACAGTTGTCATTTCGCGGCCACCCAGAGGTGGCCGACAGTTGTCATTTCGCGGCCACCCAGAGGTGGCCGACAGTTGTCATTTCGCGGCCACCCAGAGGTGGCCGACAGTTGTCATTTCGCGGCCACCCAGAGGTGGCCGAGGTGGCCGAGCCACCTATAGGTGGCTCGGTGGCCGCCGAGCCACTTGTGGCCGGCCACCCTGTGCCCAAGGCACAGTGAGGGTAGCCTATAAATAGGCCACCCCCTTGTTCATTTGAGAGGGTTGGAAAATTTGGAGAGGCGAAGCCCTGCTGGATTGGAGACTCGGAACTTAAAAAAGATTGAAACTTTGGGACTTCAAGGACTTGCTCATCCAGATCTGGTGCTCAGCGATCATCAACGTCAAATAAGGCAGGTGTTCGAGAGGACCGGATCTCAGATCTACGCAGGCTATACTCCGGATCTAAGCTTGGTCTTAGATCCCGAGACTTGGACGATTGTTTCCTTGGTGAAACAATCCTCCCCGGCTATTATTTCCTTGGTGAAATAATACCCGTAGTACTGCGTAGATCCGACCGGATCTAGATCTCGCGGTGGTCCACGGCAAACAACCCCGGCGCAGGTAAAGAACCCACGAAGCGAGCGACCGCAAAACAGGAGCTCGCGATTCGTTCGACACAAAAGGAAAAAGTTGTAATCTTTGTTTATTTTTATTTGATTTTCGTTGTAACCGGATCTTATAAAAAGACCGGATCTTTGTAATCGATAAACTATTACAAGAGTGTACAATGGAATCATTAATGAAGAAAGATACGAATTTTCCAGCGAACAGTAAGATTGAACTAGAGAGAGAGAGCGTCTGACCAATCAACCAAAACTCCACCTCTAGAGTCAATAGAGTCAAGGTGACACCAATGAACGAGTTTCTTGCCTCCTATAGATTTGAGAATCCTAGGTGTAGGATTAGACAGCTTGCTTTCTTGTATACCAACAATATCAATAAAAGAATTGGTGAGAAAGCTAGATGTGTGCTTATGAAAAGCTAGCTGAGTGCTAAAGAAAACTATGGTCTAATTTATGGTATCCAGATTCCAGTACATATTATTGTTCATGTTAACCGCAGTATAGTGAGTCTAGATTGGGTCCAAGGTTAAATAAGATGAAATGGGATAAAAAAAAGCCAATTAAACCTGAAATAAGAGTAAATGATAAGGAGAGTGGGATACAAACCCTAATTAGACCTGTGGCAAAAAGGCTTCACTACTATTTTTTTAAGTGGCGTCTAACAACCAAATTTCAATAATTTTCATGCACATATTCTCCATTATCTTATCTACCTTCATAATTTTGCTGGTTGTTAGGCTATTAATTATTAACACTACCACATTGAAATTTTACAGACACATAAAGTGAGGGTGTGATCACTCGACTACTAGCTAGTAGCTAGCATGCAAAGATTCTTTTAGACTCCTTTACCCCAAGTGGGTCTATTTGTCTAAAAACAATTTTCTCTTCCTCCAAGGGTAATAGGGTAAAAAAAAGAGAGGGGAAAAAAAGCAAAAGGATCTATCTGCAAAGATAAACGCAGAAGGATAAAAAGTTGAAAACAACGGTATTAATAAGGGGATCAAATCCAATTAATTGGCGCAATCTAAATAATTTCAACCTCACAATGACAATCAAAGGAGTCATGGGTAGCATCTAGAAGTTACTGGATTCAAATTCGTCAAGGAAATAAGGAAAATCAAGGCCATTTGGTAGCCGCATCAATTGAAAAGAATCTAATAATTAGAAACACCTTCTACTAATGGTAGAGCATGTAGACCTATTGACAAAATGGAAGGAGACATTTTCCATGATAGTATACAATTTGTTTTATCTTTGCTTAAAGACATTAGGAAACCACAAAAAAAAGGGTTAATTTACATTACCTCTACATTTTATTTTTATCAAATAAATAAATTATGGAATTATGTTTTGTTTCAAACGACAAGATGAAAAAAAAAAATTCTCTTACCTCCTACCACTATTCCATTTATGTTAAACGAAACAACATTTCAAAAATAATTATCAACCTTTCCTTACCGTTTTCTCAGGGCTATTTGGCTAAATTACCGAATTGGTATTTTTTTTAAGTTGACCCATCTTATCAATATGATATTTTCAAAAGTCGCAGCATCTTTTAAGGTATTTTATTTCGACCCCGCTCCTCATGTCTATTGAACACGCGGTATGCCGATCGAGGCAAATTTGAACACCACCACCTCCTCATACGCCTCATTCACATGCCTCGAAACTCTTTGTTAGGAGTTCTTCCTCCCTTTCTTTTCTCAACGCTCTTACTTTATCGTTTGATAAGGATTGATTTTCCAAGTCGTGCGGGGACGAACACGCAGCTGAAAGATTCAACAACGCAAGGGTCCAATTCAAGATGTATCGATCTCTAGACGTAATACTTTGTTCTTGCTTTCGTTGTCCTTTTCAAAAAAAAAAAAAAAGAAGATTAATGCTAAAAGCTCAAAGTAATAGACTGAAAAGGACTATAGACAGCAATTATATGATCAATTTCGCAATCACTACATAAAATAGTGTGTACACTTTTAATCGTGGAAGAAGTCAACATTATTGTTGTTATCAGATGATCTCGGGTGGTGATGGATCGTGCACAAGTCACCTTCATTCATTCTTTACCTCGGCTCAGCCAAAGCTCGATGTGGGGGCGACTAGGTTCACTCTCAATTGATTGAAGCTGCTGATGAAAACCAAAGCCTATCGCTTGGTTGCTTTCATGCTGTTACGTGCATCATGTCATCAGAACAACCACTTGAAGATTTTGCAAGTGTCGGTTACTTCATTTCAAAATCAGTGATGAAGTTAAATAAGTTATTCAGATAGTAACATCAAAATAATATCAGGAAATATAATACAGTTACATTGCTCTATGAAATCGGAAGATAATAAGATGACGGGACCTAACGGTCGTGCATCCTGCTGCCATCAGCACCCGGCCTTTTTACTGCACCATAGGTTACATGGTCAAGCCTAAAAATTTGCAGAAAACCCCCTTTTTAAGTACTTGATCTTAACAGAAACAAGCGATTGACCAACATACTCTCTTAGATAAACAACAGATAAAATCAGTAAACAAATGATGTTATAGAAAAACCCTTTCCTGGAGGATTAAATCAGGATAGCGATTGAGCAGTTGACTACAAGATGGAAACAGCTAGAAGTATATATGAGAAGCATAAGACGTAAAAGGAGGAGGATTCCTGTAAGAGCTGTAGCAACTTCCTCTTGCTTATCGTGTCGTTCCCCTGAGATTGGTGAAGGAACTTATAATGAGATGACATCAACAAAGAACATTCAGCCAAATGAGGGAAAATATAGTCGTGTTGTGCATTTTCATGGCATTTGATGGGGTAACCACTGCTTTGCTTCTGATCATAACAGGTACTTGTTTGAGTGGTTCTCTCCACTTGACACCCTTAGGACGCATACTGATTCCTTAAAACCTATTGAAGCACAAATTTTTTTTTGCATTAATTAAGATTCTCACAAAATTTTCTGATAATTCCTTCCCTTAACCACTGCATTAACCAGGTAATAATTAGGAAACCACAAGCTTCAAAAAGCTTACACTGAAAATAAAAAAAAGATAATGTTGAAGAGCACAACCGTAAAAACCATCAAGCAAATCTATCCACTGAAAAATTCTATTAACTTATTTCAAGAACAGTAAAAAAAAAAGAGCCTGTCAATAATACACAAGAATAAATTGTTGATCACGTTCCTTTTCCCAATGAAAAAGATTGCATTATAGCACGGTGGTTTCAAAATCTAACTAGAAAGGGGAAAAGAGAGAGGATAATGTTTGCACCAGGCTACAGCTTATCTTCACAGAGAGAGATTCCTCCTCCCAATAAGATAGACGGCATTGAAGACAAGCATAGCTCTCAACGTAGTGCTTTTTAAAATTAGCTGCAAGAGAGAATTCAACTTTCTAGGTTATCAAATACGAAAACATCCTATGTCAAGGGATCAGAATGACTTGGACCAGAAACTGCTGAAAATGCCATACAGCTTGCATATTAAATGTTCTTTTCTTTTTACTTTTTTTTTCCTCTCCATACGATATGAATGATCACCTACATCTTGCATGAACCAAAATTTATTAGATGCACGTGCAATATAAATTCAAGGACATTACATGAAAAGAAATTTTCTTGGTAGGATCAAATATGACTTAAGATAATCATTATCCAAAAATTGTTTGTCCCTTTGAAGCAAGATAATATGAAGAACCCCTGCAGATAGCCTTGTGGTTGGGCCTTGGGACCTTAGCAGCCAAGGTTCCTCACAGCAGCAGCAGCAACAACAACAAAAGTGAATTTGCCATCCTTTTTTATAGGGGAGACAACTGAAATTTCCAATATTTACGCACAAGGTCACGTTTTGATAGGTTAAACCCAAAATAATCTGAAGAGACAGGATGAATTGGAGGATTTTGAGGAGAAGAAACAAATGAAATTGGGAAAATAAAAGGAAAAGAGTACATATAAAGTACCATTCAGATGAGATATAAAGGTCAGGCAGATTACAAAGGGAAGTTACAAGAATAAGCATGCAGAGAATACCTGCCCAGATACCCTTAGACAAGCATAGTGTTAGGGCCTGTTTGACAACACACTAAAACTAGGCCAGATTCAAACCTGACTCAGTTTTAGGGTCCTGTTTGACAAACTTATTAAACTGGCTTTAGTTGGAACGAAGTTGGCCCAAGATCTTAGTCCTAGTTTGGCAAATAAGAAACTTATTCTTATCTAGTTTTTGTTCGGCCCAATTTTGCCTCATAACTGGATCAGGAAAGAAACATGTTCCCACCTGGTATGAAACAGAACCTGTTTTAGTCTGGCCTAAACAAATTCAATATTCTCTAGATAAAAAAATCTAATAGAGCATCGAAAATCATATAATTTGCAAATATACCCTCAGACCTAGCACAAGTCCACTGAACTTTGCTAGTACAAATGCATTTTCTTAACATGAGAATATTCTACCAAACTTAAAAACAGAAATCAAGTTCTCTTTTGGTGCAACATATAATTTGAATATTTAAAAAATTTAAAAACAACAAGTTTGATATATTCGAATTTGAATATAGATGAAACGAATCGGAACCTGCATATGTAATTAGGTAAAGAAGCTTAAATCTAATTTTATGCACAATAAATTTATTTATTTTTTGTAATTTATTGTTCAAGTAAAAAAAAAGGAAAACAGTTTTACTATCAAGATGGAGCTCTATTTTCACATATTATGTGTTTACCAAACAAGAAATAGTTGTGTACTAGTTTTGTTTGAAGGTTAGCCAAACTAGGTCCATCTCAAAACTAGTTCATATAAAAACTATTTTAGCCTTATCTAGACTAAGCCTAACTGATTCAAAACTAAACCAGTTTATTTTCTCAGTTGCGAAACTGACCCTTAGTGTATTTTGTGTTTGGGAAAAGTTGGGCCAGAATTGCCCCCGCTTTTCTTAGCTATTTTTGGCCCTTAAACCAAGCCAGAATTGGTCCATTTCCTACAAAGGACCAATCCTGGCCTAGTTAACAAATAAACCAATAATTATTGCATTTCATGAGGAAAACCTTCATATGCTTGATTCTTATAGAACCAACGTGGTAATAGGATTTATAGTACAATAGCATTTCACTTCGGAGAAATGCTTGCCCCATAATTTTAATTAATCTTTCAGAGTTGTTGTTAATGACGACCATGGAAAAGGAAGAGTAGCAGATAACACATGCAATCTTGTTCTACTGTTCTATTGCTACCTTTTGATCATTGAAAGAAAAACAATCAATAAGATAGGTTATATGTATGTGATAAAAATGTACTTTTTGTGTCGAACTGCAGATTAACTAGTAATATGCTAAACTACTTCTATCTTTAAGATTTGTTCTTTTCTGCATCTAAACAACAGATTCACCTTCCATTTAACAACTCTACCGAGTATTCAAATTAACTAAGACACAGTACAATCATCTGTAGCAGTCTTCTACTTGCTAACACTTTGAAGAATATGCCCCGATAATTATATTAGTGTATAGTACAAAATATAGAGTTTAGCAAACATGCCATATCAACATGAAGACGGATGATAACATAGCATCTTATTTCAAAACTCACCATGCGATTATACTACTTAGATGAATGTTTATGGGTAAAGTATTAATATGGTGACATATTTCACATTCAATTGAACGGTGAAATATCAGAACTTGAAGTGTACCTCCCGAGATGACCCCTTAAGGGTTGATAGATGAACAGCTGCTCTCTTTTCGCTTTACAGTAAATATGTCAGGTGTATGCTAGTTAACTCCACCATCAGCTGAAAAGATATTCTTAATTTATTTCCAAGGGGAACTTCCATCTCTTTGATCCATTTCACTATGAAGCCTTCCCATCACTTTAATTAAAAATGCATACTCAAAAGCAGTTTCTTCACAATGCATATAACGGCCGCCCTCACCAAAATGTCCACCACTCATATTGGTCTTCAAAATGATAGATCTAGAACAGGTCGGACATGTGATCTCTCTCACCTTTGCGACCCATTTAGCAGCTTCCCAGACTCCTACCCTGGATTATACAACGAATGACAATAAGCACTATGTTAAAGCCTAGATGATAAAGTCAAATAAAAGATACAGACTAGTTGCACACTGCATGTCAGAAGTTCATGAATGTGGATGATAACTGAAAAAGAGATGACAATCGTTTATAACAAAAATTCATTCAAGGTCTTGTTTCTCTACAATGGCATAGTGAAACTAAGCTGTTGATATGCTTTCTCTGGATCCCTCAAGCAAATAACCAAGCTTCCGAGAAGAAGAGAGAAACAAATGAAAGGAGAATATAGCATAACCAAATAAGCAATAATACCAGAAAATAGAAGAAAAGATTAATTAGAAACACTTCACGAAAGGTGAAACCAGATACCACTTATAGAGAAGATGATTTAAGTAATCACATAGGAGAACTTCTTAGGGGGCTAAGAAAATAAGAGTAATTGAGAAAGATTCGCAGTAAAGAACAGAAACGAAATAAAAGTAACATCAGAGCACCCTATGCATAGGCCAAATAAATAAACAACAACATATCCCTAAAAGAAAAACAAGGACCCAAAGAGAATAAATGTCCCAACGCACCTGGAATCATAAAATGATGCTGTAACCAAAACTGAAGGATAGCATTGACCGAGCAGTATGTTATCATATGGAGAATAGTTTTGAATTGTTTCGAATTGAGTTTGAAATTGGGGATCTCCAAATTCCTCATAGTCCAACTTAGTGAGGGGTAACTTAGAGTCCAACATTGTGTTGCAAATATCAAGAAAAGGAACCTGCTTTAAGTTGAAGGCAGAGGAGTAATGAATGACTAAGATAGATACTAAGATAGATACAGATAAAGATGTAATCATAAGAAAAAAATTAGTTTCACTAGGAAACTAATAAAAGGCTACAAGCCTACAACCAACTTATCAACATCTGCATGCTGTGAATTCATTTAGATGATCTGCAGCATAGTGACAATTTTGTTACATTGTGTTTCATACAAGTCAATGAAATCTAGATAAAAGGAAGCTGTGTCTTTCAGAATTAGTAAAGTCAAATTCAGTGATAATGAATACAAAAACATGATTCATCTAACTTCAAGAATCCTAGTTTAACATTCTACATTGACATTCCATCTAGTCATTCATATATAAACAAGCAACTTCTATTAAATTCTTATCACTTTCATTATGAAAGACAAAAAGCAGACTATAGCTTCAAAGGAAAAGATTTTCAGGTAATCTATCTAACGTGCCTTTTGTTAGATAACTTCTATTAGGAGAAAGATAAAGAAAAATAATGATGTAGAGCACTTCAGATGCACCAAGCTTTCTTCTAGATCAATGAAGTACTTAAACTTTTCTTCTTCAGGCCCTACATAATGATAAAATTGTAGAAGATATGTGCATAGCATACCTCTTCTCTTTTCAGATATTACACTTACTTGCATGACATTTCCACTAAATCAGAAAGAGATCTTTAAGTTTCTTTCATATGTTGTCTCATTATCCTAGAAAAACAAGCTATGCTCTAAGACTGTTAGACATAATACCAAGTCAATTATCTCAGCTTGACAACTAGTTTGCCTTGCATGAAAATCAAGCATACCAGTCAACATAGTTGGAGGGTTAATAGTTAGAATTATTGGAGTTCGTACTCTAATAAGACTGTGATATGCATATTAAACAAACTGAAAGAACAGCAGTTAAGTGGACATAAAAAATTATCAAATACACGTAATGATTACATTTAGAAACTTGTTCGACAATAGGATTTAGATACTCTATGCTTAAAAGAAAAAATGAGAAAGTGTCTGTAGAGGATTCAAAAAAATATCAGATGACAAAATGAAACAACATAGTGATAAAAAAATGAGAAAGTGTCTGTAGAGGATTCAAAAAAATATCAGATGACAAAATGAAACAACATAGTGATAACAAGCAGATAAAGTAGGTCTACAAGATTCAAAAAAATATCAGATGACAAAATGAAACAACATAGTGATAACAAGCAGATAAAGTAGGTCTACAAGACAAATACAACAGTCTAGCTGCCTATTTTGTGAAAGACATTATAGTAGGGGGAAAAAAGAGACTTGTGTATAAAACATTCTGATCCTCGGTCAATTTTCGAGCAAATTAATAGAAGCCCTTTGCTTTCTCAAGTGCACGTCTCCTGCAGGCTTATAGTCCAACTGAGAATTTTGAACTTCTACACTGCTGCCTAAAGGTGAATTTTACACAGGTTTAAATGCAGAATACAATAAAACATGAAGCAACAAAGAATGATGTGATTAAAATAAACATTCTATTTAGCCCTATTTTGTTCAGGTGTGCAAATTATATACCTGGCACTAATTCAAGAATTTAGAAGCAAATAAGCAAATGCAGTCGAAAGCAATAATAGCTAGAAATAAATGAAGAAGTAAAATGCATAAATGGCCACATTAAGCAAATGCAGTCGAAAGCAATAATAGCTAGAAATAAATGAAGAAGTAAAATGCATAAATGGCCACATTGCTTTCTTTTTAACTCAAAGCTAATACTGTTCAAGAATCACATATTAATCACCTTCAGAATAGCAGCACAAAATAAGTCTGGATACATGTTCATACATGCTCCTACTAGAAGGCCTCCTGCACTAGTTCCAACAGCAGAAAGCCGGTCCTTATGAACATAACCCTCTCCAATAAGGTATAACCCACATGCAGCAAAATCATACATAGAGTTTAGCTTGTGCAATCCTGTGCCAGCCTGATGCCACAACAAGTTCCCTCCACCCCTACAAAGAAGATCTAATTTCAACAAAAAATAAATAATAGCTAACGACACTTATCCATTAAAACTAGCTTCAACCCGTTACCTGATATGTGGGATTAAAAAAAAAGAAAAATAAACTAAACTCATCAAACAATATAAACTGTTAAAGTGAGACAATCTAGAGACTACAGTGCACATTATAACTATAATGTTCAAAAGAGCTAGCAATTCAATTTATGACATTAATTAAATTCTTTTCGAATTAATGTAGTCTCATAGAAGGCATTCTTACCTGACATCAGCATATGCACAAACCCATCCTCGACTACCAGCTTTTATCCAAGACCTCTCCATAGGCTCCATAACCATGCAAAATCCCAGGAGATTGACTAGTAACATGTGCGTTCTTAGAGTACAGTATGGTCAATGGGACTTTGACACCATCATGTGAAATAACTTCCTTCCTCTCACAAGAGATTGCTTCAGAAATATCATGCAATTTTTGAGAGTCTTCCAAACTTCGCAAATGCTTGTCATCATGAAACTGGACTGCTGAAAAATTAGAACGCAAATCCTTGGCACATAAATTTGCTTCTGTGTCATTAGCTAATCCCACTACCTCCTCTTGATGCAAGATAGTGAACTTCCTCTTTGCCATATTGTAGTCAACTATAACATCTGGCATCTACAAATTTAAAGAGAAGGAAATGAACTTAACATATAATTTAAATATCTGGGACTCATTTGTTTTATCGCCTTGCATCTTGTCAAGCAACATACAAGCTCAAATCGCTTGTTCTGAACAAACATTACCCTTACATCATGCAAGTAAATAAATTTAGCAGAAGAAGAAGAGTGTTTGTACCACTGGAGATGAGATCACCACACGATAGATGGAAGACATGAAATCCTGATTGGAACCTGGGGTAATATTGCAAACGTTTGAGGGTACTGGGAAAAACCATGGATCAAGTTCCTCAACTTTAGCTGGTCTCTACAAAAGAGTAAAAAATAAAATAACAATAGAACACATGAAAGCATGTTAGACATAGTTGTATCCGAAGACCGTGAATGAAGTAAACAAACAGACAATAATAGTTCATAGAAACATTTCAGTGCTATTTACAGTTAAAGGTCATAAAGGAATGATTCTTACATGTTAAACATTATAAAGAAACCAAATTATACATCTCAAACTCTGATTTGTTTCTCGAGGGAAAAGGAAGAATGAAAAAAGTACCGAGTTTTGGTTAACTCGCCTGCTGCATTAAAGCACATTATAGAAAGGGTTTTTACATAAAAATCACCTTAACTTTTGTCCAAATTGATACTTACTACCTTTATTTTTTATTTTTGATCAAAACCACCTACATTTGCATAAATATTTGCAATGTCACACTTTTTGGTATTTTCTATTAAAAAACCTAAAATTCCTATTACACCCTCCAATCTAACTTAAGTGGGGGAAGAAGAGGAGGAGGAGGCGGTGATGGATCAGTGGCTGGGGAGGAGGTCGGTGGTGAGAGTGGAGAAAGGAGGAGAGGAGGGCCGGGGTTAGGGTTTGGAAAAAGCCAAAAGGTGGAGAACATGGTGGAGCGGAGGAGGACGGGGAGGTAGGGGTGTTAAACCGTATCCGTATCTAAGGAAATATCCGTAACCGTATCTGCTAGGATACGGATATGGTTACTCAAATCTATAATTGATAGGATATTGTTACAGATATGGTTTTGTAGTGAAATATCCGGATCCGTATCCAAAATACCCAAGTACATATTAGGCATTCTGTTAAGATAGTTCTAATTCTTAGATTATGGATTTGAAGTTAATTTTGATGATCAATATGTCTAATATTAGCTTTTCAGATATAATGAACATATTAATTGACTCTTTTGTATCAGATGAGCTATTTTTTAATACTATCTAGTTTTCCTATATCCATTTGTATCCGCATTCATATCCGCTTATATATCCTTATATATATATGTATCCGTATCCGATTTTAGCGGATATGGATATGAACTTTTCTTACCAAGATATATTCATATCCGTATCTGTATCCGAGATGGGTAAGTGGATATGGATATATTAAGTATCATATTCGAGCCATATCCAGACCGAATGCATCCCTACGGGGAGGGGGAGAGGAGAGGGAAAGGAGAAGGTAGAGGGCACCATCAGTGGAGGGGAGAGGAGAGAATGAGTTAGGGTTTGGAAAAATCCTAGAGGTGGAGAAGATGGGGAGGGGGCGAGGAGAAGGATAGGGAGAGGAGGAGAAGAGATCAGGGGTAAAATGCATATTTCTAAATTTTTTACTGAATAGCGTTTAAGGTGTGACATTGCAAACATGTAAGCAAATGTAGGTGGTTTTGATCAAAAATAAAAAATAAAGGTGGTAAATATCAATTTGAACAAAAGTTAAAGGTGGTTTTCATGTAAAAACAAGAGCATGACAGGTCACCCCAACAGGTGATGAACACCATTTATAGCTATCTAAACACTACAATCCAAATAAATTTAAAAATGAGTGCTCTAAGATCTCGAAAGTTTTCAAAGAACAGTCTCTTTTGGAATTTTTTCTTTTTTTCTTTTCTTTTTGTCAACGATCCATTAGATTATGTCACAGAAGTTCTTGGGAAGGGAAAAAGAAGGCTCAGGCTTGAAGAAAGAGCATCTCATAAAAGAAGGGGGGAAACTCCTGTTGCACATATAGATAATGATGAAAGTGATAAGCGGCCTTCGCGCCTCCCAGGCTCAAGTAATTAAATATTGCTTTGTGCTATTTTAGTGTTGTTCTCCTATGTGTTAATTCCCTTTGCTCATGGGGAGTTTTGAACCAATAATTTCGTAGAAGGGACAAAGGAGATGGCACAGCCTAAGCTAAGCTCACTTGGACTTTTTAAAACTTTTCACTATACAAATTTCTAAACATGTCTTTACTGGTGAGAGAACTTAAAATGAGCTATGGGTGACATTCGGATGGCCAACCACATATTTCCATAGGTAGAAAACAGACTTCTTTTTGTGTATATCTACACAATGTATCAGTAGACTGAATTTTAAGGTTTTGAACTATCTGAACACCAGCAGTTTATTGTATCCAGAACCCGCTTTAAGAACAAAGGAACATAGATGAATAATGTATCCAGAACTGCTTTAAGAACAAAGTAAGATAGATGAATAACATTGTCCAAGCTAAGTTGCAGTGGAAATGATAAAATAATTCAGTGACCTCTACTGGACTTGTTGTCAACGGTCCATCTGAATGAATAATAACTTAAAAATGCTGAGAATGTGAAGCAAAAATATTTATTCTAGACCAAATGAACACAAATCAAATGATACCAATCAATACATTTGCAGGTATCAATGTGTCATATTACATGAACCAAACACACAAACACTCTCTCTCCACTACTGGCCTTTTCTGCGTTCTTATTTTCGGAGATCAATTTCCAGATACACATAAATTTCGATGATTTAAGAAAAGGAAAGAGATAAAGCTAAAAACCACCAGTACCTCACAGTTGTCTACAATAGGCATGTCTATGGAACAGAATGAAGGAAGCCCCTTCTTGTCAATAGAAAGCACCAAATTTCCACGGAACATATCCATGTCATGGAAGGTTATGTCTCCACGTGGTACAATAATAGCCTGAAACATAATGTGTGAACAGCTAATTAGACCTAAAGCCAGAAAAATAAATATGTCAACTATTAAATTTCCAAAGAGAAAGGAAATAGAAAGCATTTTTTAAACCCCGCTTGTAGGCAAAAAGACCCCGCTTGTAGGCAAAAAGACATATTGAGGAGATGGCTAAATTAAACTTTGTGACTCTTGTGGAATAACATACACATAATATGATTATAATATATCTCATCTATGGAAGAAACAAACAAAATGTTCATATATCCCAGTTATTATGAAAAAGGTTCAAATAGCATGTGTCATAATCACTGCACTAGAATAGCGTTCAATTAGCAAGTACTCTCAAATTCAAAAGCTACAGAATTCAAACATCACTTTGTATGACAGGAGAAATCTGACCTGCCAACTGCTTAATAGTGACTTCTCAGCTCTACATCTAGCTAAGTAATAGCCTCCAGAAGCTACTCCCATCTTCTCTAAAGGAGAATTATTAAGAATATAAAAGAAACCATGATGGTGTTCAAGAAAATACTGAACACCAGGCACACGTTTTCGGACAGGCCACAATCCACCTTCTATGTCTGTAGCATCCATCACATATACCTGTATGAAATAAGAATTTAACCAGTAAGGATACATCTTGTACATATATCATCAAATGGGTCATACATGATCAACCTAAATATAGAAGAATGATTAAGAAAAAGTGACCTTCCTCAGATGAGGCCCTGGAGTTGGAGTTTATGGTTAAAAACTTTCCATCTTTGGTACTAGTAATATCCACACAGCAACTCGTATCATTCTCAGTAAAGAGTAAATAATCTGCCATGTTTGATGCCAGGTTCGTACAAAATACCCTGCCAAAGATAAGTAAGTGAGGGAAAAAAGGAGAAGATAATTAAAAAACTTTCATATATCTTGCACCGACAATTGAAAAGATAGAGAAAGAATTTACCTGTAAGGCCGCAGGCTTTCATCACAAACTGTGTATAACAAACAACTACTGTCTGAAGCCCATGCCAAGCTAACCACCCCTTCAATTCCTGAATCTAAAATGATGCGTCCAGTTTGGATATCTTTCACTTGAAGGACAAAGACTTCGCTGCCAGTTCTGTCCAGCGTGTATGCAATGTACTTATGGTTGGGCGAAATCCTACATGTGCCCACATGAACATAACCTGCATATTTCCGCAGAGTAAGTTCCCAAAATACCAAAAAGAACAGAACAAGCTGAATGGAATAAGAAGCAAAATAGGGTACTAACACACCCCAAGGTGTGAAGAGATGAAAGAAAACTAATGCACAGAAATCTAAGAACAGACCTAAAATGCCATCCAGAAGGAAGCACAGCAGTCTCAGTGCCAACCCGTTATTAAGCAAGATAGAATTTAGATTCTTGTTCAAAGGTTGAAGTTCAAAAATGTGACACAGGCATGTTCACATGTAAAGTAAAATTTATAATTAATTAATGGATTTAGAATGAAGTTACTGCTAATACTCGTTCAAATAGAAAACACACACACACACACTGACACACACACACACACACACACATATTATATATATATATATAAACAGTAAAAATAGGTCATGTGGACTACCTTCCCCAATAAAACGAAAATCCACGCATCAAAATAAATTTCTGGACAATAACGTTAAAAATTAATAAAAGCAAAATGCATAAGATACATGCCATATTTTTCAGCTATCTCATTCCAGTCGAGCAATATTTTATCCTCCCTGGTGCCTCTCAAATAATGAAGAATTGTTTTTCCAAAACCCCCGTGACTTTTCGCCCTCCTACACAATACTGGATACTCCTTTCCCTCCGGGATATACTGATAGTATAACCTGACTCGGGAAAACCAGGTAACATTAACTTTATGAAAATGTAAATGCATAGAGCATGAGAATATAAAGAAAATGAAACCGCTGATGTATATTGAAAGCCTAGAGAAATGAATGCTTCAATGTCAATGCTCAGCATTAGCCTAAATGACTATGCAGAATGTGCTTAAAATCCAAACACTAGTATGCAGGGTATGAATCCGACCTACCAAACTTCCCCTTACCCACATGCTGCCGCCCCTTCACCATTCTATATCAACTTGATCGCGTCTTCCAAGTAAAATACCCCCAATTTAAGAGATGAATAAATAAGAAAATAAGTAGCAGCGGGAAACATTGCTCTGAAGTTAATTAGAAGCACAATATCAACATAAAGAACTCAAAAATCTTCTCCGGTGTCAAGTGGCACCCAAGCTGATTTTAAAAAAAATATTTATAAGTACTTGGTCGGATATTCCTTTATGATGAAGAAGGCGAGGAAATGCAAATTACTGGCACAAAAATGAAATATAACATGAACTCTTTTACAACACAAGTATTTATTGATCGAATAGGGAAGGCCGGTATTATGACACCCCAACTTTAGTCTCACATGGACTAGTATGAAGAAATATTAGTGGTTTAAATAGAGAAAAACCCAGGGCCCAAGAACAACTAAGTGCTAGCATTTTGGCAAGTAGCTGTTAGCCAACTTCGAGTTGTTGGTCCCACGGCTTGCAAGCGCCAACGGTCCGTGACAGGTATCAACCGTATTTATAAAAGAGTTTTGGTAGCATAGGTTATCAAGGAGTTAGAACTAAATAGTCTACTCATTTGTACAAATGTGAGTACGAAATTGACAAAGCCAAATAGGTACCAAATCCTTCATCAAGCTACTTATATCCAAACCTCCAAACTTTAGCGCATTTTACCAAAAAGGAAAAAAGAAATTCACATTTTCCCGCTCCAAAACTAACGCAATATTCAATTCTGAAGCAAGCCCACTAACCGAAACTTCAAGTTACATAATAAAACAAATAAATAAATTGGCGGGAACTAGGGTTTTGAAGCAGTACCAATCGCCCCAGCTCTCAGGAGGAGTCGAAACCCTAGCCGGCATCCTACCCTTCATCTCAGCCACCAATCTCCGTTGAAGATCTTTAGTGTCCGCCATGAAAGCCTCAGCGTAGGAGTTCTCTCGATTGAGGTAGCCGATTAGATCAGGATCGTCGGTTTTGGACATCCAGTGGTAAGGATCGTCCCAAGTTTTGCCGTGGGCTGAGACGGCGAAGGGCAACTTTTTGGGGATTGGGGGTTTTAGGAGAGGGTGAGAATGGGGCTTCTTTGTGCAGGAGGAGGAGGCTAGAGAGGAGAATACGAGTCTTCTACTTCTGAAAACGG